GTGACGCAGAAGTAGTTAACAGGTGTTATGTAGAGACTGCAGAGGGGGTGTCTAGATGCAGGGATGTGTAAAGATATATATAGTGGATGAGTAGAATAGGAGAAAGAGGAGACTAGCGACCCACAACTGGGTGAAAGGGAGGCTAAGATGAGGTCACCAGTCGACTCTTTAATTGTGATATTGCTAAAATGTATATAGTTGTGAATTGATTGTTTATACTAATATAGGGTAGCATAGGGTGAGAATGTGGGATTTTTTTTTTGTGATTTCCTCCCTTACCACATTTCGCACCTGCGCCCTCCTGCCAAGGCCGGTGAACAGTGTGCTCCTAGCCAATGAAGCAGCGATCGAGGAAGTAATTTAGCAGTTTCCTTAGCCCACCCCCTGTTACTGTAGTACAGAAGGTGGCAGCGGGTATGCCTCCACGCCCCCTATCACCACGGCATAACAGGTGGCGTAACATCTATATGTTGGCAGATTTTCACGTTTTCGGTGCCCCTGAATAAGAAAGATTTGTTTTGGGAATGCCGTTTGTCTCTTCATATGTATGCCTCAACTGCTGTACAGATTGTGTTCATGTCCTGTGCTTAATAGTCCATGCCTCATAGATCGGCCTTCCTCAACATTCCCCGATACACAATACAATTTTCTGCAAAAGTTGTCGATTAAATGTTAATCATTGTTGGAGACCCTCTCAATGTATAAGACTCCTACCCTTGTGGTACCTTCAGTAATGCAACGGTATGCCCCGGTTATAAAAAAATTATGCGCAATGCCTTCGGCCTGATTTTGTTAAGCTTTTAATAGACAATGGTTGCTGTGTATTACACCTCCCTTGAAATTGAGAGACCTCAGTATTTCCCCACAAACTATCTTTATTTTTTAAAACAATTCTGAGAATAGATTCATTATAATGTTTGAGTCTCGACGTCTCACAACTCTATGGGCCTCCACGACCAGTTAGAGGAATACTGATTTATTATTATTTTTATTAGAGGGGTGGGTTTCCCCATGCACTTAGACCAATTATTGGTCCATTGTGCGTCCCCCTTTAATTTCTACTGTCGCCATACCCTACCGGTACCGGTGCGTGCTATCAGCCCCGTTCAGCCAACGAGGTCGGCCGTCGGTACCTTGATACTTCCCCCATCTACCAGAGGCATTGGAAACTACTTGGGCGGGAAACTTGCCTAATAATTTTGATCAGAGGTCTCCTAGAGACATGAGGATCTTTTACGTGCCGTAAATCTACGACACGGGACCCACTGCTTAAAATCCCTCCCGGAGGACTTGTTCCCTGAATTTTTCCGCCCTTAAAAGTTCCACGACCTTCGCCGGGTTTGAACCCGCTTACCTTGATTCATGAGGTGGGAACGTTACCCTTAGACTACGGAGGCCGCTAGAGGAATACTTACTTACTTACTCAAGGAGCTGAGCCCTTCTGGAAGATCCGCCAATTCTGCAGCTACTCAAGAATTTCCCAGCATTTTATGGAACCCGAAGGTTCATTACCGTGTTCACAAGATCCCTCCACTGGTCCCTATCCTGAGCCAGATCAATCCAATCAATACCATCCCATCCTGTCTCTCTAAGATCCATTTTAATATTGTCCACCCACCTACGCCTTGGTCTTCCCAGTAGTCTCTTTCCTTCTGGCTTTCCCACTAATATCCTACGCATTCCTCGTCTCCCCCATTAGTGCTACATGCCCTGCCCACCTCATCCTCCTCGACTTGATCATGCTAATTATACTTGGAGAAGAGTACAAGTTATGAAGCTCCTCATTATGCAGTAGTTACAGGAATAGACTGCAATTATATTGGTAAAGAGATAATTCCGTCGTTCCTTTAATAGACGCACCGTGTTCAGTACGCAGCCGGAGCTGAACTGTTAGATACTAATAAGAGGAAGTTCGTGGTTAGAAGGCGCACATAACAAGAAACAAATGCTTAAGGTTGACTGGATAAAATCTCACAAAGACAAATGTTAACTTCTTACATGCAAATTTCTCAGTTGCTGCACTGGATATATTCCTCAGTGGTGTAGCCCGCAATGTTTATGAAGGCATGAACTTCCCTCGTTGGGGCGCATGCGTATCCGCGTGACGAAGACGCTTGGCTCTAACTGTGGCCTAAACATCGCCTGTCTTCTCTCAGATTCTCCATGATTTTCCCCAGTCCTTCTTTATGAATGTCAGGATATTATACGTTAAGCCTCAGGAGTTTGCTCCCAAACCCTTTCAAGTTGACGAAATGCTATCATTTTCTCGTACGACTTGACTCCAAATAACCTTTTTGTCTTCTCGTCTGTTGTCTGAACACGTAAAAATTAGAATATATAAACTTATAAATGTGCCCTTTTGCTGTATAGGTGTGAAATTGAGGCGCTTGAGAACAGGCTACTGAGAAGAATATTTGGGCCGAAGTGTTGAAGTGAAAGGAGGCCAGAGAAAACTGCATAATGAGGCGCTTCATAACTTGTACTCTTCACCAAGTATAATTAGAATGATCAACTCAAGGAGGATGCGGTGGGCAGGGCATGTTGCACGAGTGGGGAAAAGAAAAATGCATATGTGATATTGGTGGGAAAGCTAGAAGGAACGAGACCACTAGGAAGACCAAGGCGTAGGTGGGTGGACAATATTAAAATTGATCTTGGAGAGATAGGATGGGATGGTGTGGACTGGATTTATCTGGCTCAGGATAGAGACCAGTGGAGGGCTCCTGTGGATTCGGTAATGAACCTTCGAGTTCCATAAAAGGCTCGGAAGTTTGTGAGTAGCTGCGCAACTGTCAGCTTCTCAAGAAGGGCTCGGCACCATGAAGTTAGTATAGTGGAGTACTGACACTAAATATCATCAAACTTACGTTGAAACATTTGCCCCTCTGAGGGTGTGACTCCAAGAACAGGGGACCTGGACATTTTTTTACGTGTCAAGGTACTTTCAGAGATGTTGCGTTAAGTGTATCTAGAGACAACCGCCTGCAGCTTGCTTCTGAGAGTAGGATAAGTAGTGAACTCGCTTTTCTGCTTCAGTGTAATCTGTAGTTATTTCAAAATATTTAAATTCAGTATACCAACACTGATCTTTCAAAACACGTGTGGGATTGTCGTTGTCTGAAGAGACAACCACTTATTAAACTTCTACACAAATATTTATTGTCGTTATGCAGAATATACAGACGAATTTCAGTTCAAAATTTGGGGGTTTCAGGTTGAAGAGACTCCATCCTCTAGTAGAGTCTGAGACTTATGTTACGACAGACGGTCAGCCGGCCAGTGTGTCATGGAATAAATCACCCATCTGGTCGTAAGCCCCAGGATAGTGCGTGGAGCTATACCTCCACTCCACCATACGCACAGTGGCGTGGTTTTAAATTAAAGAAGCGTTTGAGGTAGTCGGTCGAATTTAATTTTGATCCATATGTCTGTTGGATCATCCCAAATGGCGCCTAATATAAACAAGGGTGAAATCGAGAATCATCATTTCAAAATATTTTGTTGTTCCTTAAATTGGCAATTCATATTATAAAAATTTCTAAACATACTTAATGTTTAACGAAATATGTATTGCAAAATCCTTAAATTAAACTTAAGTAATGCAATCAACGAATATTGCCAAACGAATTGCAGTAAAGAGTTCGGCTTTCAAATTCAGTTATCCGCTGTTAGGAGGCCTGGGAGTTCGTCATGCAAACGAAATATCTGCAAAATATTACCCGCATCGAGTTCGAGTGCCGCACGCGAGATGTCGAGACCAGCGCAATAACCTGTCGTAAAAACCAGGATGCTTACTCGTAGTGTTCAGAACTCTGCTCCAAGCTTGTTAATTTTTATCATTGTAGTCGACGGTATTCTATAAATTATTCAGAACATGAATTGCCATGCTGAAATGTGTCTTCCTTCTGCCCGAAATGTGTTTGTAAGATACAAAATTTATCTATGGCATTCAATCCATGGAAAGAAGAAAGATCTTTAATTTGAGACAGCAGAAAATCTCCTAAATATTAATAATAATAAACTGTGCGATTTAAGGGAGTCAGTATGGTTCAGTCGGTACAGTTCCGCCCTTCTTTCTGGATGGTTGTGGAATCGGGGTTCAAATCTCGGCAGGTATATGTGATATATCCGTTTGCCACATCGTCCAGGTCGGCACTGAGGCCTTCTCCTCTTCTCCTCGTGCAGTCCACTGGGCGGCAGGGGTGTCATTTCCTTGGAAGTTAAGTGGCCGAAGCGTGAAAGCTACCACTCCATCTAGTGCCAAGGTTAAGAATGCGTGGATATATACCCGCATTGTACCATATGCCTTCCTGACGTGACCTTTGATTATGCTGAGCCACAACTTCAGGCTTGTTGGGGAGCATATTCTGGAGCAACTGCTGGTTATTCTAATCCGTTGGTTTTCGCCACTGGGACTTAGTGTGTGTCTTCGGAATTCGGGACAAGTTCTTCGACTGGCAAATAAATTTCCTGATGTTATTCATTTTGTTACGAAATTATTTTTAAGATATATGAGGCACACTTAAAGGACACTTAAATAACAAATGAAAAAAAGTATCGTGAAATACTAATCACATGCGCTGTACTATAGGATTGGAATGTCAGGCGCTATTGCTAAACATAGAGACGCCCATAAGTAGCTGAAATGACGTTTATAAGGACTCTCAGGGCCATGGGAAGGTAATAGTAATTCTTGTAAAAAAGTCTTTCATATTATTGGTGACGTGAAGACGAAAATTTCACAGATTTCATGCGGGTTGGAAGCAGTTTTCATGCAGAGTGGACGTGAAAGTTATTCGGTGGGAAAATTGTGTATTCTGCATTACAAGTGCAGGTTAGGCTCTGAATTTTGCGACAAGACGAGAATCGAAAGAGTATAAGGAATTTATTCCTGCACTTAACAGACATATTATGAATGACTGTTGGCTGCACTGTTCAAATCGCGGTGCAGTTGTTTCTCAAGATGGCAGCTGGGTGCTACCGAAACTGTTGAATTTAGTATCAATGTTTATGTTTATCGACTTTTCTTGTGTATAAACAAAAGAATATCTTTGATAATACTGTTATAGATTAAGGTATTTTTCCTTAAAACTAAAGGGATTCTTTTCTATACTGTCTGTGCAGCATGCAGTGTATTGAATTGAATTTTTCATTTTCGTTTGTTCACAGGTACACAGAAAATAAAATATGAATTTCATACTTCAGAAGTTATCGCAGATAATCCCCTCCAGGTCATATTGTCCGTCATTATCATTAGGTAAGTAAAAGTGTCGGTAAATACTATTTGTGATATTCTCAATACGTAGCAGTTAAGTGCTGGGAAGAATATTGCGATTATTATTATTATTACTACTACGGTGAGGGATGATAATGAGATAATTCTAGATACCAGACAAGAGCTGTAGATTATAAAGAATTTGTTATAATCTTTACTTTACACGACACTTTAAGGTACAGGTTATGACAGTGCACTATATGCTGTAATTCAGTATCCAGGAGAATTCATGCCAACACTTCTCAGCATAGTCACCTGAAACTTTGAATTCTTCCATATTCCTACTGGTAAATATTATTTGTCCAACATAGTCCTCAGGTGGCTTGCCATTGGACTCTGACTAGTTCCACTGTTACATGGCCTTATATATGTGCGTCTCCAGTACAGTTTCCGGAATTTTGCCCACTGGACTTCTGTGACACTGAAGACTTTATTTTACTCCCTCATTTCTTATATGCCATTCTATATTGCTTCCTTTGTATTGTATAGGTAAATGTTAAAAATCTTAAAATGTTAAAAAAATATTTTTGAAATTAAATTTTTAATTTACACAACAGGATCATCATTACTTGGTGGTCCTACAAGTTGGATACGCACCATGGCGACACTCCATCGAATGCACCGCACAGGTCCTCACTACAAAAAGCGACCACCACGGAAACCTCTTGATGGTAAGCCATTTGCCAAAGGGGTTGTACTGAAGACTCTTATCAAGAAACCAAAGAAACCAAACTCTGCAAACAGGAAGTGCGTGTNTTTTTTCTATAATTTCTGTCTGAAAATTGTGCTGCGGCCTATACATGCGTAAATACGGTATTTTCAAGATATATGAGGCACTTAAAGGACACTTAAAAAGCCAAGGAAAAAAGTATCCAAAAATACTAATCACATGCGCTGTATTATAGGATTGGAAAGTCAGGCGCTATAACTAAACTTAGAGACGCCCTTAAGTAGCTGCAATGACGTTTATAAGGACTCTCAGAGCTGTGAGGAAGTAATAGTCAGTCTCTTGTAAAAGAAATATTTCATATTGTTGGTGACGTGGAGACGAAAATTTCACAGATTTCATGCGGGTTGGGAGCAGTTTTCATGCAGAGTGGACATGAAAGTTATTTGGTGAGAAACGTGTGTATTCTGCATTGCAAGCCATTTGCCAAAGGGGTTGTACTGGAGACTGATCAAGAAACCAAAGAAACCAAACTCTGCAAACAGGAAGTGCGTGTTGGTACGACTGAGTTCCGGCAAAGAGATGGTGGCATATGTCCCAGGAATCGGACACAACCTGCAGGAACACAGCATAGTGCTGTGTCGTGTTGGCCGATGTCAAGATGTGCCTGGCGTTAAGATCAGATGTGTTCCTGATAAAACTTATGTAACGCATGTCATTAATTACTTTTTATTGCTAGTGGGGTGGGACTAAGTCCCTTGTACTGCGGCCACATTTGGCCTATTCTACCAGCGCCAGATGATAGGTGAGGGTGATTGTGGAGCAATTGGTTGAATGATGATTGGCAGGGGAAACCGAAGTACTCGGAGAAAACCAGCCCCAGCGCCACTTTGTCCACCATAAATCCCACTTGACCAGACCCGGGATCGAACCCGGTCCGCCGCGGTGGGAAATCAGCGACTAACCGCTTGAGCTATGGCGCGACCAAAACATGTCATTAAGAAGTAGCTATTATTTGCTGGCTGAGTAGTTTTGAGTGTAAGGGTTGCAGTACTGGTGAAATGTGGTGGCATACCCCTGAATTATGGATGTATAGGAGGGGGTACCCAAAAGAAACCGAACTTATTTTTTTTAAACTTATTTATTCAAATTTTAAGCACAAACCTTCAATCCCCTTCAAAGTACTCTCCACTTACACTAATACACTTGTCTAGTCTTTTATTCCATTTTTCAAAACATTGTCTAAATTCATCTTTTGAGATGCTTGACAGCNGTATAGGTAAATGTTAAAAATCTTAAAATGTTAAAAAAATATTTTTGAAATTAAATTTTTAATTTACACAACAGGATCATCATTACTTGGTGGTCCTACAAGTTGGATACGCACCATGGCGACACTCCATCGAATGCACCGCACAGGTCCTCACTACAAAAAGCGACCACCACGGAAACCTCTTGATGGTAAGCCATTTGCCAAAGGGGTTGTACTGAAGACTCTTATCAAGAAACCAAAGAAACCAAACTCTGCAAACAGGAAGTGCGTGTTGGTACGACTGAGTTCCGGCAAAGAGATGGTGGCGTATGTCCCAGGAATTGGACACAATCTGCAGGAACACAGCATAGTGCTGTGTCGTGTTGGCCGATGTCAAGATGTGCCTGGCGTTAAAATCAGATGTGTTCGTGGTAAATATGATCTATCACATGTCATTAAGAAGTAGCTATTATTTGCTGGCTGAGTAGTTTTGAGTGTAAGGGTTGCAGTACCGGTGAAATGTGGTGGCACACCCCTGAATTATGGATGTCTGTGTTACACAGATTATTAAAACTTCAAGCAGAACTAATTTCTTTGTAATGATTGTTTTTAAGGAATTGATTTTGCATATTCACGTGTCAAAGATGTGGGACATCTTGTATTAAGGTTCCGGTTCCCATCCAGTTTTGCACTGCATTTTATTGCCATGGAAAGAAGTGTAAATAGCATGCCTGAAGGAGCACAGAAAGTGTTTTTCTGTTACATTTGTGAACCAGACAAGCTTGCATAGGAATGTATCCCTACACAGGCCATAATGTGGGCAGCAATAAAAGAATACAGTGTCAGAAGGGTAAAATCTGTTCTTGCAACAGGCTGTGAAGGCCCATATGGTTGTGAAACACTGAGGCTCCCACATATTCTAGACAGTTGGCTCACAGTTCGCGGTGAAGTTGTCAGCCTTATTTGCCAGACACCCTTTACCCCCAGGAAGATTCCTGGTACTCATTTCTCTTAGAAGGTGAGTCAACCCCAGGGCCATAGTGCGTCTGGAAGGATTAGATCAATTGAAAATTTCATTGAACTCATCGAGAATCAAACCCACTAGCTTCTGGTTTTTAGCAAAGTGCCTCAACCAACTACGCTACAGTATGCCAACAAAAAGCACAGTATTCGTTTAGTAATTTCATGCTATAGACACATTTTCAAGAGCATGTCCCATCTGTAACGCTGAGGTCTGCTGTATGTGTTGCCTATAACTTGAATCATAAAAAAAAAGACAGAAAACTTCAGAGGAATTGGTAAACTTCAGAACTATGAAACTGTGGTTTCAAATTTGTTTGGAATTATCATTAATTTGCATCTAATTCACATCATTTTTAAGAAATTAAAATATTGAAGTGAGATCAGGGATCAGTGGAGGGTTCTCGTGAACACGGAAATGATCCTTCAGTGTCCGTAAAATGCCTGAAAGTTCTTGAATAGCTGCAACAACTGGCAGCTTCTCCAAAAGGGGTCGGCTCCATGAAGTTAGTTAATCTAAATATTATAAACTTTATGAAGATATTAACACTGTGCTCACACATTGTTTCCTGCATCAAATAATATCAAAAATTATATCACATGTTGTCCACTCATCCTTTACACTGTGGTATGACTTGTACTTTTCCTTCCCAAATTTTCCCAGTTATTCCCTCAGGTTCTACATCACAAACCCAAGTACTAAAGTGTACATGAAGTTTTATGCAATGTACTTTCTGTTCACAGTGCAATTAAACTTATAGTGTAATCTTCAGGGCTTAGTGTGGTGGCACTAATGCCACATGTTCCTTGTCCATCTCACTTTCCAAATGTGTTTGTTCTTTGATTTTATTCATGTGTTAATCTGCTTGTGAATTAATTCGGTAATGAAAACCACTGAACTCAATATATATCCGAAGATGAGCACCACGAATGCTGGGCTCAAGTGAGAAACAGAAAAGATGACAAACGAGATAGAACTTACATCGGTCAGTTTGTCCATGCTTCTTACATGAGCCCAGTGCTGCAGTTCAGACCAGTACGTTTCCAGAAATCCAGCTTCAAAGAATCGTCTTATGAGCACATTAATCCTAACAAGAAAGAGATTTCCTTTTTTAAGAAGCATTGTTAAACCTGCAGAAATTAAATTTTCTTCCAAGTAACAGATCACTGTGCTTTCATCTGCAATCCCCATTTCGCTAGCAACATAAGTAGAGAACACTGGATAAGTAAATGAAGCCATATCATTTTTGGTTATTGTTCATTGGACACATTTACGTATATCAGTGCATTCTTCCCTGAGTCTCTTGTTTTCAGAGAATTTCTGAAGTGCAGGAAATTCTGCTGTGAACAGAAAGAGGTCAACAATGGGATGGTATCCATAAATGACGTCTGAATCTTGCAGTTCGTCAAAGGTTTTGATCTTCTTTTCATGTGCTGGTTCCACAAGATAAGACACAAATAAAGCTTGGAATACAGTACTCATAGCAAAACAGTAACATACATACAGAAGAAAGAGAACCCTGAGGTTAGAAGTAGTGGGCTGCTTTGGAACAGACACTCCCATGAGAACAGCCCATACACTGTAGAAACAGTGGGATACTGACTTGTAAGAATGTGACTCCTTAAGCACAGAGTGGTAAGGGCCATTCCCTGCCCACCAGAAGAGAGCCGCAGTCAGTAGGAGCACGAGAACCATCATCAACCAGACAGATAAAGAGAAAGTTGTCATTATCTTCTCCATTCCAGGAATGCGTTTTGGACAAGGAACAATCATCTTAACATATCCGTACGTATAGGTAACTGTTGCATCATATGTTGGAGTAACTACAGCTCCTGATAGTATAATAATACCAGTTAAGACATCAGTTATTCCATCCTGTAAGTCTGATAATTGTGTTATAGCTGATTCCAGTTCCAAATTTATTGAAGGTGGAGAGAAAACAGTTTTTAAGTTCATTTTTTCACATACCAAGGAAAGTATTTCAACAGATAAGCCTCCTAATCTATACACAGTAGTTCCATCATTGCGTGTATAATTATCTATCAAAATCACATAAGGATCAATTCCGTAAGTTGCAACTCTGATGGGACATCCCGTAAGATCGTTTGGAACTTTTATCGGAAATAAGTCAACTTCTTTTGATAATCTGCCGTTGTGTTCAAACACCCATTCATCTAGTAGAGTGACATCTTCAAGTTGTCCGCATCTTCCCGATTGGTACGGAAACCAAGTGTACAAGTTCAGTGTGTCAAATTCTGCTGTCTGCAAGCTGGTCACTGTTGTCAGAGGACGATATGCAATTTTGTTTGGGATTAAGACAACTGTGTTGGCAATACTGGCCATCTGCCACAACATGGCACAGATGAGACTGGCCAGTAACTGGGGAGGTTCACTGCTGTGGCCAGATACCACCACCACAAACCTTCCTCGAGGATTCCAAGATGTGCTGTATTTCAGATTCTCCACCTGATCTCCAAGAGTCCTGTTGAGAGTGACTTCCATGTCTAGCCACACAAACAGAATGTAACTGTGGTGTAGAACTGATGTACCTATGACTTCGTCTCCTGGTCGGAATATTTGAATTGTCCATGTCGTTCTCTCGTTTAAGTTTTCCAGCAAGAAATTCACCATTTGTAGGTGATCCCTGTGGGGCAGGATTCCAAGAAATGGTCTATGTATGCCTGCCTGTCCCATCCCAGGCAGTGAGATGACGAGAGGACTTCCAGGTGTGAAATATCTGTGTGCAATGGTTTCCACGCACAGGGCAGTGTGGAACTGTTGTGTAGTGAGGATGTTGTTGCTTGCAGTCAGGACGCCTCGTGTGAACACAACGAATCATATTGATGTCCATCATGTTTCCTTTGACGTGGGATTTTCTTAGCTGCAATGACATATGTTAGAAAATAGTTTAGAATGAGTAGGACTTTTCTTTTTCCCATCTGTTAATAATATTGCAGGTTAACTCTGTGTTTTAGCAACTCATTAATCCCTTTTATTGTGTCTGTAATATTATGAATATAACTTTATACCTGAAATTTATGGAGAAATCCCAAGTTGAGTTGAACTCTACCCAGAGAAGGATATGATTCTAATCAGTACATAGGGTCCCCAATTTAAAAAAAAATTCATGTGTGATATACAGTTTCCACTGCCTTTTTATGGTTGATTAAATTTAGTTGTTGTGTCTTTATAATGTTTGATTAATTCTTTATCATATGTGTATGAAAATCTGTGTGTAGCCTTCAGTAAACTAGACTTCATTATGAATGAAAATGTCTGCAAACTACAATTGCTTAACTGCTTTTAGTGAGGTTGTCCAAGAATCAATTTTGGGGGAAAAATCATGATTGTTATGTGTTAACACCAAATAAAATCACACAGATGTGACATTGATAAATGTGTGCAAGATCATCCAGTATAGATTAAGTTTCATTCTGTTACCTTTGCATTTTAGCATCCCAAACCGCCATACACTTTAACATACAGTGGAGACCTCCACTTTCTTATCATGTGGATTTATGACATGTAAAAGATCCTCATGTCTCTAGGAGACCTCTGATCAAAATTATTAGGCAAGTTTCCCGCCCAAGTAGTTTCCAATGCCTCTGGTAGATGGGGGGAAATATCAGGTACCGACGGCCGACCTCATCGCCTGAACGGGGCTGATAGCACGCACCAGTACCGGTAGGGTATGGTGACAGTAGAAATTAAAAAGGGGGACGCACAATGGACCAATAACTGGTCTAAGTGCATGGGGAAACCCACCCCCTCTAATAATAATAATAGGAGGAGGAGGAAGAAAACTTTTAGACAGTGTTGAGGGCAGCTGGAGAGACTGAAACCAAACATGAAAATATCCTAGATTAGCTTGAGCTGGAAGGAGAAGAACCTTGATTTCAGCTTCTGACAGAGGAAGAAATTGCTTCAGTGATGTTTTTTATTTATTTTCATAAACACTACCTGTATAAAATCTTGTATTTATTTGTTTCCAAAGTTTTTTTCTTCTTGTATTTAGGGCCATTTCTTTGCGTCGTTAATTAGGAATACAGCTTAATCCGGATTAGTGAGGGTTTTCTGTATATTAAATGCTTTAAAGAAGTGAAGCCCGAGGGTACATTACATCTCAGACTCTGAAATTCAAAGTAAAGCACCTTTGTGCATGCATATGTACACTTCATACATGTCCTCCTTCATCCCATTGCCAATGCTTTATTGTACACTTTGCACTATGGAGATATCTCTTTTGAGTAAAACGTTGTTGGCCCATTTGTCAGCAACTAATGTGGAGGACAGCCCATTCTCGGCTCCTGAGGACTGCTTATTCAGACATTCAGACCAGGAAAAATGCTGAAATTGTTTCATACTAATGAAATACCCCGTTGAAAATTCAACAGAAGGATTTATCAACTCCCATCTCTAACATATGTTGCCACAGATAACTCTTGCGTTGAACTAGATGTAGGTTAATGGTCAGACTCACTCTCCGGCAGCTTTACCGTAGATCTAGTCTGGACTCTGTGGAGACCTGTATATGCCTGTACCTGGAATTGAACCATGATTTCCTGGTAGTGTAACCTGTAGCCTACTTACTATAGCGCCTGACCTACCCCTGCAGTGGTATTAACTGAGAACACTGCAATCCTTCCTTTGCCGCTTATTGCTACTATCTTCTGATCCTGACGTTAGTTTTCCGTTGAAATGACGTAAGAAAGACATGACAAATACTGATCTGCTTATACCAGTTGTATGAATACCAGATGACTGTTCCTATCTTTAATTGTCATCCCCGGGATCCATGGGCCCTGTCTTGTTCTCTTCCAGTGAGATATTAATTGGCCACGGGAATAGCGAGATTCATTCGCATTGTATATTTACCTGTTCCAGATTAGCCCAGGGGTCTCCAAACTTTTTGAACCGC